TGTTATAAACTTGCCACTATAGTGGGATTCTGCCTGCACGGTTACAGTACAAATTTGGACCACACTAGTGTCCACTAATGTCGCACTAGTATTACACCGAAAAAGGTTAATGTACTGGTCTACTGGCGCGGCCTAGTGTTGCACTCGTACAGTTTAGTGCAGCACGAATTCAGTGTCAGTGTAAGTCGACCGAATTCTATTGGCGAATTCGGCACACGTGCACTAATTCTGCTCTAGTACTGCCCTGACATGGTGCGAGTGCAGAACCACTTTGGTGCTATGCCAATTGCACTGTCAAAAACGTCAGTGCAACATTTCTTGAACTCGTTCAGTTCATTCGGTTGGTCCGAATATAAATTCAGCACTACACTGGGCTAGTTTTCATTTGCCGAATATGATAATCTTAACGCACCGATACAGTGCGCACAAGCCGAATGCATGGTACTAAAAAAGTTCGCACTCAGTGCGCACTAGTGCAATCTGCCGAATTCGCTATATGTGTTTCACAGTGTCTCTCTGTATCACACTGTGTAACACCAGATCTCTCTTGCTGAAAAGCACCCTATATAACATAGAGACCCTATACTAAGAGTCTGGCCAATGTTGCTAGTTTGACAAAACATGGCGTCGTCGTACATAACCCTATAGTATAGGGACTCTATACATAACCACAAACGTGATGTGATCGATTAATTTGAGACACTTCATTGGCTCCGCCATATTTTGTCAAAACCAATAGGATGGATGACAACATTGGCCAGACTCTTAGTATAGGGTCTCTAATATAACACAGTGAGTCGTTTCATCCTTGTTTAACTTGTTGGCAAACAACAAGGATAAAATGACTCACTGTGTTTCACAGTGTCTGACTGGGTGCGTTCTTTTAGGCATCGCATTTGGCAGTCGCTGCGCATCGGAGCTGCCGATTGCGTGTTTTTTAAACGATTACGCAGATACGTAGCCGGCTGCGCAGCTAATTCTATTCGTCTGCGTATCTACTGCGTATCCATTGCCAAAAGAACGAAAATCTACGCTGCAATCGATTGTGCGGTTGTGCTAAAAGAACGAATTATTGCAAGAACTGCTGTATCCGATGCCTAAAAGAACGCACCCACTATGTCCTTGCTGGAAAGCAAGCTGGCATAAGTTCTAGTTGGATAGAAAATGGTGTTCACAGGACGATAAATCATAGAACGCGTTCGCAACTAGGACGGAAAAGCAGAAAAAATAGGAAAGCAGAAGCCAATCAAAATTTGGGCTGTATCTATTACCAGCACGACTTTTGATTGGCTTCTGCCATTCCATGTCCAACCAATCAAAAATTAGCCCATCATGCCAATCTCTTATTATAGGGTGCGTTCCACATAACGCTCGTAACATTCACGCTCACAATGACGCTATCACCCGTTCCACTAGTATGAGCGTTGCGATAAGTGGAACGAGTGAAGAGCTTATTTATTGAATCGTTATTCGTGATCGATGTGATCTTTACAGTGGCAGAG